TATATATATATATATATCTTGCGTGTAATTACTTATTATTTGAGGTGTCTCATGTGTGTTAGAGAGTTTTGTTGTTGGTGAGAGACTTTGGACTTAGGTCTACATAAAAATATGCTTCAATTAACTTTAAACAAAGTTTAGTCAAATTATTTTAAATTCTTTTAAGTGCAATCAAGGTTTACGTAATAGTAGACATTAAATACAATTTTTCATTCTTATAAATTATTATTAACTCTAGTATTAAAGTATATATATTTTTAATATAACTAGTTATATTGCTCAAAGTGTCTCAGACGTGTCAGAGAGTTTTGTTGTGGGTGAAATAGATTTTAGACTTTGGTACACACAGAAATACGCTTCGGTTAACTTTAGTAAAAATTGGTCAAAGCTAACGTTTCTATCTGGAACACATCATTATTAGTATGTATTTATATTTTATTTAAATTTGACAATATAAGTGTAGTCGGAAGAATTAAAAATCCACATTAGTTGTCACATTAACTCTAAGGCCTCATTTACATTATTTAACAGCTCAACTCTAGATCATCACTACTCTAGATCATCACTTTCTGTTTTCTGATTCAATTCCCCGATAAAATTACTGGAATTGTAAAGGCATATGGAGGACAATCACAAGGCAAGTAACTCCTTTTTTTTAAAGCAATGTCTTCTACTTTGATCTATGATTTCTAGGGTTAACTTTTGATTTGAGTCTTAATTTATCATTGTTTTATTGGAATTTGTATAACTTTCAAGTTAAATTAAGCTGATTTGTAATATGATGTCTACAAAAATCAATATTTTTTTTTATAAACATGTTATTTTAGAGAAATATTTATCAATTTTGTCAATTATTATTTTTCAGTAAAAATTTGATTAGCCACTTTAGTAGAGTTTTTTTTTAAATTTAATTATATATTTTTATTCACAAAATTCATACTAAAAATATTATTTAAGAGATACTAACTCTAATATTATCCAGACAAAATTTTTACTGTAATGTAAATTTGTATATATGTTTGTGAAATCCATGACAAAGCATTTTTCAGATCGGATCCTACTGCAAAGTGAAAACCTGAATAATTTCTACCTACCTTTTTATCTCCTCTAAAATTTCTTACTTTAGAATTTAAACGAAGAATGGTTTTAGTTAACCATCACTCTTTCGGATAATAGAAATATGCTTTGAATATTTTTGTTCTTTGGATGACTTTTATTTCGGTGGAAGCAACGAATTTGCTTCACATAGTGTACGTGGAAAATAATATACTTTTGACTATTTCCATGGGAAAAAATATTCTATGCAAAAGTTAGATGTAAAAATATTCACTATAAAACATTGAATTGGCAATGGAACAAAGTTATAAGAAAAACAAAAGTATTCTACTTTTTTTTTCTCAGAGTTTTTCAAAACAATTGGTCAATTAGGATTAGTCTAAAGTATAAACAATCAATTGGTATCTTAAAAGGCGTGGATAAGTTTGTATTTATGCCAAACAACAGTTGGGGATCACCTCATTTGATAAGTAAGGAGATTCCCCCCATTCATTAAACTAAAAATAAAAGTAGATTCTGATAAATAAAATAATAAAAAAATTTGATTCATGCAATTCGTTTTCTGTATCATCTACTCATATCCTCACCTTGTTATTATGTATTAAGAAAACATTAGTGTAAGATAAAGGAAAGAAAAAACATTTGATCCCTTTATTCTGTATATATATATTTTTTATAATTATGTTATTTTTTTTATATAGTTAGTTACTGTATTGGTAGGAAGGTTTTATTCATTGATAGTAAGAAAACATTTATATTATGATAGATGAGATGTATGATGTATTTTATAATTGTGTTTGTAAGTGTGTGTGCATTAAAAGAAGTTAAAGGGTGAAGTGTGTGTATGGCTAATGCCTGTCTGTCGCCAACTGAGGTTTCCCACAAAATCCAACGGCTAATGACAGCTTTTGACCTTCCCACCCCATTTCTCAAAAAGCCGTTAAAACGGACCCACCCCACTCTACGTTAGCTTTGACCCAACCCCTTTGACTAAACCTCCCAAACCCAAACTATGATTTATTTTAAGAGTTGAGAGTTGAGAGTCATGAATCATGATGGGCATGGCTGTGGAGTTCCTAAGGAATAACGATAATAATAATGCGAGTGCGGTGCAGGAAGCGGCTTCTGCGGCCATCCACAGCGTCGAGAAACTCGTCAACATGATTTCCAACAAGAAGGAACCGGAACTGGAAGAGGTTGCTGACGTGGCGGTGAACCGCTTCAGAGAGGTTATTTCGCTGCTCGATAGGCCTCGCATCGGTCACGCTCGTTTCCGAAGGGCCCCCGCAACAGCGCCACCTGTCCCCGTTTTTCAGTTGCACCAAACGCTCGCGGTTCATGATCATCATCATGCCAAACGCCTCACAGAACAAAAACTAAAAACCTCTGCTTTCAAGGTTTATTCTCCTCCTCAGCCTCAGCCTCAGCCTCAGCCTCAGCCTCAGAATCACCAAAAGGAACAAGCTTTTACCAACTCCTACGTTTCTACGTTAACGGGAGACACGGAGACTTTGCAACGCTCTTCGGGGTTTCAGTTTCCTAAACCGCCACTTTCTTCGACTTCTCTCAAGAGGAAGTGCAACTCCACGGCTTTTCCTCATCTCAAGTGTGGACCCTCCTCTTCGCACTGCCATTGCTCCAAGAAAAGGTATCCATATCATACATCTATATATATATATATATATATGTAATTTCGATCTTGTCGTTTTGTTACTACTAAACGTTTATGAGGTTTAAACGGTGCAGGAAATTGAGGTTGAAGAGAGTGATTAGAGTGCCAGCGATTAGTTCCAAGACTGCTGATATACCACCTGATGAATATTCCTGGAGGAAATATGGACAGAAACCAATCAAGGGTTCTCCTCACCCGAGGTATATATCTTCGTTTTCTTCCATTTCTTAATACGACAAACTTATTTATATGCTCACAACTTTTTAATGGGAATCAAATGAATGTCCTAACAACACCTAAATTCTTTTTGTGTTCAAATTGAATGTAATGGGAATATGTTGCCATGAACATTAATTGGCCAGGGGTTATTACAAGTGTAGCAGTGTGAGAGGTTGCCCAGCACGGAAACATGTGGAGCGTGCTGTCGATGATTCCAACATGCTGGTTGTCACCTACGAAGGAGATCACAATCACTCGCTCACTGCTCCTGAGGTGGCCAGTACTGTCCTTCAATCATCTTAGGCTTTTCTCTTCAACTAGTTTATTTAAAATTCATTGAAATAGTTAATAATTAATACAGGAGTATGAGTATTTGGTTGGTCTTTGCAAGACTTTTTATTATAATATAGTAAATGTAAAGAAATATTTAAACAGCACAGGGGTGTTGAGTTCAGATGAAGTTTGTTGCATGGAATTTTTTTGTTTTAATAATATATGGATATTATTTTCCTTGCATATAGGTAATTGTTTACTCCTTGTGTGAATTTGATTCAAAATGGGGATGGGAGGGTAGGTATATAGTCACGGCCACAAGGGCTGGAGAAAATTGTTGCATTGCTTTGATTTGAATTTGATGAGGGGGTTTTCGTGGGATTTAAGTTTGAAAGTTGATGAGAAATGAACCTCGTATGTCATTGGACATTGGTGAAGCACGCGTGATTCTATTTTGGATATTTACGTTTGAACGAGGTTGAAGTGGAAGCAATGAATGGATTGAGAATTTTTGACAACCTAAGGAGAGGTTTGTTGACTTTTGTGGGTCGTGACTCGACCTATGTTGGCAGCTAATGACAAAGTCAGAATGTGAATTGTACGAATTGAAAACTTGTCTCTCAATTCTCATGTTTGGTCGTTTTAATGACCAGGCTTTTCTTTGTTGAGATTTTAGATTAGGAAAATGCTTTCTAGTACCAATTTGAGTGATACAACCAGTGTATATAAAGACAATTGGCTTGCCAACCAAGTTTTTTTTCTTCTTCATTTAATTATTTGTTCAACAATATTTAAACAGGTGGATTCCTTCCTGCAAAATCTTTTAGTACCCTATATATGACATCACTATTCAAATTATGTGTGTTCTATACAATGTTTCTTCTCTTTTTTCTTTGGAAATAAAAAATAATAGATAATTAAAATTTACCATACTCTCTCATAGGGAATAGGGTCTGTTTAGTTTAAGGGAAAAAAAAGTGATTTAAAAGAGGTTAGGAAGGAAATAATTAAAAAATAAAATGATTTTTTTTAGATGTTTAGCACGGGAAAAAAAAACACTAGTTCTTTTGTTTAATTGTATAGAAAGTATAAAAAATGTGTATAAAATGGCATATATCTTAAATAACAGATATAACAATAATATAAAAAAATTATCTTTTTCTCATTGTTGAGATTTAGAAGGAAGAAGGAGCAATGCTTTGTTTGGTTAATGAATGATTTTAAGAAGAAAGTAGAGCAGAAAGAAATATGAGAGAGTAGAAACTGAATCAACTTTTAATTGTTTGGAATACGAAAAGCTAGAAACAAGAAAAAAGAAAACTGGATGTATATTACAAAAGCATACCAATCTCTAATCACATTAATTTTTATATATTAAATATGAAACTCTATTTTACATGATAATATTTTTTTAAAAAATTTAATAGGATGATTTATAAATTTTTTTTAACTTCTTATCTAATTTGATTTTTATTTATTATAATTATTTGTAAATTAAATATTAATATTAAAATAAATTATCAATAACTAATAATATTTTTTCTATAAAAATTATTTATCATAATCTAAAATACAATTTATATGTTTAAAAATATTAATTTATATATACTAATTTTAAATATAATATATATATATATATATATATATATTTTATAAATCCAATCGTTTAGATTGAAAGTTATTTATTCTTAAATCATATATACAAAATTTTATATTAATACAAGATAATTTGATATTTCATTCTTATGAAATAAAATTGACGTAATATATATATTTCAGTTCTGAAATATGAATATTTTGATTACCTTCAAGTTGTTGTTTAATTTTAACAAAATTTAATATAAATATATAAAGTGATATGAACTTTCAATCTAACGGTTGAATTTACAAAATTCATATTTAATATAAAATTATTGAACGGTATAATACTTAATAAAAGTTACATAAATATTATTATAACTCTCCTCATATATATATATATATATATATATCAAAGTATTTATATATATAATTTATTATAAAATTTAATTATATTATATATAATAAACATGTTTGTACATTATCTGACCAAAATATTAGTATATATATAATTCAAAATAAAAAGATAAATGTTATTTAATTTTTTAATGAGTCCTTATAAGGTAAAAGAAGAAGAAGAAAAAAAGAATAATTATTTTGCTCATGGAACATCAAAGTAGAAATATCGGACTCACCCAATCATGCATTCCCGCTGAATATTGGATTTGAGTTATGATTAGGGGAATATTGCAGCAGGCCCGTAGTCTGTTTAGGGTCAATCTTTGAAATTTTTAGTAGGAGATGGAAATATGTCTGAAACTTGGAATAAGTCTTATGAGATCCACGTTTCATATTCACTATTAAATATGTTTTTATTTATAAAAATAAAAAAGGGATACACTTTTATTTATTTTTTGTGTATATATTTTTAAGATATTTTTATAATTATAAAGTACTTTGATATACAAGTCACTTATTGTTCGTAGAGTCAGTCCATTTAATAACTCATAGTCTATATTGAATATCAATGATTCAATCGTTAAATTAAAATTTTTAATGAATAATTCAAGTTTACAAAATTTTACAAATTTTGTAAAAATATTATGTTAATTTGAATCTATATAACAAAATAACTAATAATTTTTAAATTTTACAAAAATATGTTGATGGAATCATGTCTAGGAAGGCAAGGGGTGACACATTGAAGGAGCCAAGAGGAGTTGGCTAGACATGAAGGGTTGGGCCAGTCAAGGCCCAATGGGCCTGATGGGCCTGATGGGCTTGGAAGGCCCAAGTTGAGCTTCACATGGGCCACATCTTGTTATAGCTATTTCCTTATGGTTTATATATTATGTTATTATAGGTATCATATATTTTGGTCTTGTATTTTGGACCACATAGAGTAGCATTTTAGGCTTTAGGCTTATTGGGCCTAGTTTTGGACTTCATGGGCCTTTGGGCTTTTGATACCCAATATTGGGCTTATTTTAATCCTTGTAATTTTTCCTTTATATTGTATTTGATTGGCCAATGTATTTAGGCCATTAGATTAGGATTATACAAGAATTACTTAAATAGGCAATTTAGACTAAAATTAGGTTTAATTTGGAAGTCATTTAAGTTACATTTGAGTCACATGTTTAACACTATAGGTGGCTGAACATGTGCCACTCAAATTAACCCTAAATGACACTCCAAATTCAACCTAGATGCATCATAGCACCTAAACTCACAGCCAAGCACATGGGAGCCAAAATTTGAATTCAAATTTCAAGTTTGAATTCAAATTTAGGCGCCAACATGTGTGGCTTGACTTAGATGCCAATGAGCTTCATTTCCGTAGCCTATTTAGGTGATTCTCCTCCTTTGTAAAAGTCACTTTTGGATTAATTGATGAGACTTCTCTTCTTAGAATTCTCCCCCTCTGAAAGTCACCATTGCCTAAACTCTACCCTACTTGAGCTCCTCTCCTTGTAGAGCTAGGAAATCTCTTCTTCTCCGGACTTAGCTAGAAGCAAGCTTAGGTCACATTGAAGCTACTTGGAGTCTTCTTCCTTGATGTTCTTCTAAGGAATCCGAGAAGCTTTGGAAGTGTTCTTGAGATTTCCAAGTGGAATCTCATCATATGTAGACTTGATTTATTCATTAAAAAATTTGATTTAACAATTAGGTCATTAAAATTCAAAGTAGACCATAGTTTATTGAGTTAAACTTTACTCAGTTACTTTTGAAGTAAGTTGATCAATTCCTTTAAAAACTACAAATAAAGTTACCAAGTATTACCACTATCATTATTATCTTTATTATTATTATTATTATTATTATTATTATTATTATTATTATTATTATTATTATTATTATTATTATTATCATCATCATCGTTGTCACCACTGTCATTGCAACTAACATCACCATCAATACCACTTACGACACCACAATCACCACTACCACAATCTTATAATTGTCGTCGTCTCATCATCACTAGGGTGGCAAAATATGTTAACCCTGCTTGTTTTGAGCTACCCCCACCACTAGTTTGCTAAAACAGGCACTAAAAGTGGGACATAAATCTTAACCCGCCCTACCTTGCTTTTAGACAGGTTGGTGGATTGACTTGCCAAAAGTTTTATTTTTTTTTTATTTTACCATCAATTCAAATTAACAAACCTAATTTTTTTTTATATCAACCAACAAATTTATCCCATGATTTCTTTATTTAAAATTTTCTTTTAATCTAGATTACTACCATATCTTTCAACAACACAAAATTATAATAATCCTTAAGAACCACACTACAAGTATTAATAGTCTTTCAATAATAAAATTATACCACAATACAAAGTGATATACACCAAAATAGATAAATATTTAATTAAATGGATTGACAGACTAACTTGCCTTGACCTACCATTTGGTTCGAGGGCTAAGAAGGTTGGTAGGCTAAAATACCTATTTTGCCCCACCCGTTTTTGGCGAGCTAGCCTATGGGTCGCGACCCACTTTGCCACCTATAATCACTATCACCACCACCACACCATCACTACTGTCATCACAATTATTGTCGCACCACCAAAATTATCATCGTCATTGCTACCACCTTAACCATCATCATCATCACCAAATTGACAGTAATAACAACAATGACAACAATTGTAATAGTGACAATAACAACACCAATGATAAAACAATCATGAAAATGACTATATGTGATAATTTTATTTGTAATATTTTAATTTAAAATTTTAATTTTAATTTTAGAGTTGTGATTAATCATTCACATTTATATTTAAACTTTGATAAAATATTTAATCTTAAATAAAATATTTATAGTATCACATATAATTTGATCTTGAATAAAATATTTATCAAATTCTTTTTGATACAAATTTTTTCAACTTTCACAAAACTTATGAAAATAATTAGCCAAACATTCTACAAAATGTAACATGGTGGCTGCAATTTAATCATTCTAACACTGAAGTCAAATAAAATATAGAGAATAATGCAAAAGTCAAGAGAAAAAAAAAAGGGTAAAAATATACATTAATATTAAGAGATGGGTAAAGTTCCTGCCTCCTATGTGTTTATTTTTAATCATATTATTTGATATAATATTTTTATTGATAATTAATTTCTATTGTGAAATGTAATTAGTTACTTTTAATATGATCTCTTCTCTCAATAATATTTTTTTTTACATAAAACTCAAATATGAAAATCTAAGTAAGAGAATCGAGTCTAATATTATTCAAATTAACGATTTGTTGGTGTCTCATGGTGTTTTTAATACCAAGAATAATTCTCTTGTATTAAATGTTGATATAATCATAGTAAAAGTTTTGTATTTTTCTATATAAATAAAATAAGTAGGATCGCGTTAAAACTTGTGTACATCTAAAAAGAAAAAGATATAAATACAAAACTTTCATGATTGTGTGAAAATTCAACATGAATAGATCAATTTCCGTTTAGGACCAGCTCCTCAACCCTATCATTGGAATGGCCGGAATGATTTTAATGTGTTGGTGGAAATGTGGAACTGTTGTGCGTTTTATTTTTTACGAAATACTTGTTAATTTTGATGGTGATTAACTTTTATGGAAAAATTGATTTATCATTTTTAATGAATTATTTTCTTTCATTTTTTTTCTTCTTATTTAAATTTGTCTCGTGTAGGTCGGGTTGCTTTGGTCAATTCTGTGCTAAGTGCTATCCCGGCATACACTATGCAGACACAATGGCTACCTTCTAGGACGTGTGACCAGTTGGATGCACTCAGTAGGAGGTTTATTTGGAGTGGGGAAGGTGCACGGAAACTTTATTTAGTGAAGTGGGAGACC